TGGACTCAATTTCTGTCCCGCATTGTGGGGGCTTAGTGATGCCATATTAGACACCATGTTTCCTTCTAAGGAAGCCCCAGAGGACAAAATGCATTAATGATTTGTAACAAATGGTTACAAAACTTCTCCTTGAACTGTCACCTTATCGTGGTGGAGGAGTTTGAGTGCCCTAATGATCATAGGAGCTATGTTGTCTGGGGCACTTTGTGCCCCTGGTAGGGTCTCCCATGACAAATTGGTCTTAGGTGAAGGGTGAGACAAAGAATGGTTCAGAGGATCTTTCATGGATGAGCTATCAAGGAGTCGGAGTACCCGGCCCGGTGGGTTACTGGGGTCCCACCCTGGAGGCAGGCCTGGGGTTGGGGCCCATGAGCGAGCACCTGGTGGCCGGGCTTTCGCCCATGGGGCCTGGCCGGGCCCAGCCCGAACCGGATACATGGGCTCATCCAACTGTGGACCCACCACACGCAGGAGGAACATGAAGGGTCCGGTGCAGTGTGGATCGGGTGACAGACCGAGGCGGGAGCCTTGGCGGTCCTATCCCCGGACAAGGAAACTGGTTTTTGGGACATGGAACGTCACCTCGCTGGCAGGGAAGGAGCAGGAGCTTGTGGCAGAGGTTGAGCGGTACCGGCCAGATATAGTTGGACTCACCTCGACACATAGCATTGGCTCTCTAACCCAAGTCCTTGAGAGGGGTTGGACACTCTCCTTTGCTGGAGTTGCTCCGAGTGAGAGGCGGAGGGCTGTGGGGTTGGCTTTTTGTTAGCCCCAAGACTCTCTGCCTGTGTGTTGGGGTTTACCCCGGGGGAAGAGAGGGTAGCTTCCCTGCGTCTTCGGGTCGGGGAACGGGTCCTGACTGTTGTTTGTGCTTATGGGCCAAATATCAGTTCAGAGTACCCACCCTTTTTGGAGTCCCTGGGATGAGCGCTAGATAGTGCTCCATCAGGGGACTCCATTGTCCTGCTGGGGGACTTCAATGCTTACGTGGGCAATGACACCATGACCTGGAGGGGTGTGATCTGGAGGAACGGCGCGCCTGATCTGAACTCGAGTGGTGTTTCGTTATTGGACTTCTGTGCAAGCCGCAGTTTGGTCATAACGAACACCATGTTCGAACATAAGGATGCCCATTGGTACACTTGGTACCAGGGCAGCCTAGGTCGCAGGTCGATGATAGACTTTGTAGTCGTATCATCTGACCTGCGGCCGTATGTTTTGGACACCCGGGTGAAGAAAGGAGCGGAGCTGTCAACTGATCACCACCTGGTGGTGAGTTGGATCAGATGGCAGGGGATGGCGGACACCTGGCAGACCCAAATGCATAGTGAGGGTCTGCTAGGAACGCCTGGCAGAAGAACCTGTCAAGACGGTCTTCAACTCCCACCTCCGGCAGAGCTTTGAGCGCGTCCCGAGAGCAGTGGGGGACATTAACTCCGAGTGGGCCTTGTTCCACTCTGCGATTGTTGAGGCAGCTGTTGCTAGCTGTGTTCGCAGGGTGGCCGGTGCCAGTCGGGGTGGCAACCCCCGTACCTGCTGGTGGACACCAGAGGTTTGGGGAGCCGTCAGGCTGAAGAAGGAGGCCTACAGGGCGTGGCTGGTCTGTGGGTCTCCGGAGGCAGCAGACAGGTACCGGATAGCCAAGCGGGGTGCAGCAGTGGCAGTTGCCGAGGCAAAATCTCGGGCGTGGGAGGAGTTTGGTGAGGCCATGGAGAAAGACTATCGATCGGCTCCAAAGAGGTTCTGGCAAACTGTCCGGCGCCTCAGGAGAGGAAGGCAGCAACTCGCTCACACTGTTTACAGTGGGGATGGGGAGCAGCTGACGTCAACTGGGGCTAAAGTCAGACGGTGGAGGGAATACTTTGAGGAGCTCCTCAATCCCTCCTACGTGCATTCTGAGGAGGAACCAGAGTCGGGAGACCTGGGGATGGACTGTCCAATCTCGGGGGCAGAAGTTGCTCAGGTAGTCAAACAACTACACAGCGGCGTAGCACCGGGGAGGGGTGGGGTGGGTGGGTGGGTGGGGGGTGGGGGGGGGGGGGGGGTGGGGGGGGTGGGGTGGGGGTGAGATTCATCCTGGGTATCTCAAGGCTATGGATGTTGTAGGGCTGTCGTGGTTGACACGTCTCTGCAACATTGTGTGGTCATCAGCGGCAGTTCCTGTAGAGTGGCAGACCGGGGTGTTAGTCCCCATCTTTAAGACGGGTGACTTGAGGGTGTGTTCCAACTATAGGGGGATCACACTCCTCAGCCTCCCTGGAAAGGTATGCTCCAAGGTACTGGAGAGGAGGGTCCGATCGATAGTTGAATCTCAGATTGAGGAGGAGCAATGTGGTTTTCGTCCTGGCTGTGGAACTGTGGACCAGCTCTATGGGAGTATGGGGTGGGTGGCTTTCTGTTAAGGGCCATTCAGTCCCTTTACCAGAGGAGCACGAGTTTGGTTCGCATTGCCGGTAGTAAGTCAGACCTGTTCCCGGTGAGGGTTGGACTCCGCCAGGGCTGCCCTTTGTCACCGATTCTGTTCATTACCTTTATGGACAGAAATTTCTAGGCGCAGCCGTGGTGTGGAGTGTGTTGAGTTTGGTGGCAGGAGAATCTTGTCTCTGCTTTTTGCGGATGATGTGGTCCTCCTAGCTTCATCCAACTCTCACCTTCAGCTCTTGTGGGTTTGTGGCTGAGTGTGAAGCAGCTGGGATGAGGATCAGCACCTCCAAATCTAAGACCATGGTTCTTGACCGTAAAAGGGTGGCTTGCCAACTCCGGGTCGGGAGAGAGGTCCTACCTCAAGTGGAGGAGTTTAAGTATCTTGGGGTCTTGTTCACGAGTGAGGGTAGGAGGGATCGGGAGATCGACAGGCGGATTGGTTCGGCGTCTGCAGTGATGCGGACGCTGAGCCGATCTGTCATGGTGAAGAGGGAGCTGAGCCAGAAAGCCAGGCTCTCGATTTACCGGTTGATCTACGTCCCAATCCTCACCTATGGTCACGAGCTTTGGGTAATGACATAAAGAACAAGATCACGGATACAAGCGGCCAAAAGGGTGGCAGGGCTCAGCCTTAGAGACAGGGTGAGGAGCTCGGACATTCGGGAGGGACTCGGAGTAGAACCACTGCTCCTCTGGATCGAAAGGAGTCAATTGAGGTGGTTTGGGCATCTGGTCAGGATGCCCCCTGGACGCCTCCCTGGGGAGGTGTTTCGGGCATGTCCTGCCGGCAGGAGGATCCTGGACACGTTGGAGAGGTTACATCTCCAATCTGGTCTGGGAACGCCTTGGGGTCCTGCCGTAGGAGCTGGTGGAGGTGGCCGGGGAGAGGGCGGTCTGGAGCTCCCTAGTTGGGATGCTTCCCTCGCGACCCGGACCCAGATAAGCGGAGGAAGACGACGACGACGACGACGTTACAAAACTTTCGCCACTCATAAACATTGTTGTTTTACATGTTTACTTCTTCACTCGTTGCCAGTGATTAAAGGGAGTCTGATGGGCTTGTCATTTTGCTGGAGGTTGCACTCCCAGGGATTTTTGACCCTAATGGCTATCTGTTGTAAGGTCTTGATCAATTGTAAAAATTCTCCTTGCTTGCAATTATTTAGGTATGCACTGCCCTCCATGGCCACCATCACTTTCAACATTTGGTGAAATCAAATGGAAGAAAATCAACAGTAAAACTCAGGGCTGTGTTTAATTCAATTCAATTCAATTCAATTCAAATTCATAGATACTTTATTAATCCCAGAGGGAAATTAGAGAATAGTGAAAGTAAGAGCATTTCCACATGCACAATATAGAGGGAACTCAAGGGATTGGGATTGAACAGCTATGTAGTCATAAGAAAACCACTAATCAGTGAGTAAAATAAGAAAAGGATTCAATTTGCTAGGGAGCATACAGATCGGACTCTGGAGCAATGTAAGAAGGTCGTATGGTCTGATGAGTCCAGATGGACCATGCTCCAGAGTGATGGTTCATCAAGGTAAGAAGAGACGCAGATGAGGTGATGCACGCATCATTCCTAGTGCCTCCTGTACAAGCCTGTGGGGACAGTGTTATGATCTGGGGTTGCTGCAGTTGGTCAGGTCTAGGTTCAGCAACAGGATGTGCTCCAAGAATGAAGTCAGCTGACTACCTGAATATACTGAATGACCAGGTTATTCCATCTTCCCTGATGGCACGGGCATATTCCACAATGAAAAATGCCAAGATTCAATTAGTGAAAGAGTGGTTCAGGTAACATGAGACATCATTTTCACACATGGATGGGCCACCACAGTGTCCAGAACTTAAACCCATTGAGAATTTTTTGGATGTTCTGGAGAAGGTTTTGTGCAGAGGACAGGCTCTACCATCATCAATGCAAGATCTTGGTGAAACATTAATGCATCACTGGATGGAAATAAGTCTGGTGACATTGCTTATGGAAACAATGCCACAGTGAATCTGTTCAGTAAACAAAACTAAAGGCGGTCCAGCTTAACAATATCACTGTGTGTGACTTTATACATCTTTTATTTATTTATTTATTTGTGGTCATGAGTATTTTTTGGCCAGGCAGTGTAGTTTCAATAAAGTAACATACCTGGTTAGTTTTAATGAGATTTTTTAAATTAATAGGCAAAAATCTATATTTTAATTAAAATGTGCCTTCAGGCTAAGTCTGCAATTTCGCATAACATGGCAGAGAGTTTTCAAGGTGGTGTGATTTAGAGAAGACACTTTGTCATTCATTCATTTTTTTAATAAAATAAACAAAAAATATTATGTTTTTGTTGCATATTTTAGTTTTTATTTCTTTGTAAACTGAAAAATGTTACATAAAATCCCCTGGATTTTATGACATTGTTGATTCATGTAAATTAGCATGATAAAAATAAGTATGGAGTTCAAATGATGGGGAAACAGAGTGATGGTAGCAGGGTTGATGGATATGCATGCAGGTAGTGATGCTCAAAGGCACTTCAGCTGCTGATACTTCGTATCCTTTTTGTGCTTTTACACATTTCCAGGGAATGATGTATCTGGAAGAGCGCAGGCTGGTCCACAGAGATTTGGCGGCCCGAAACGTTTTGGTCAAATCTCCAAACCACATCAAGATTACAGACTTTGGCCTGGCTCGGCTGCTGGATGTCAATGAGAAAGAATACAACGCTGATGGAGGGAAGGTGAATACTCTCTGGAATGTTGTTTACTCTGTCTCACATATAATCAAATTGAATTAAATGCTTTTATTATCTGTATTTCTACGATGACAGTTCATTGTATCATTTGTGCAGATGTGATGAACTCTAGATCTGTTTCTTAATTCAAATATATTGCCAGTGTTGGCTTGATCTAGTTATTTGCTTCTTTGAGTAACAATCTCTCAAAATGAGACGCAAATTGCTTCAGATGTACATTAGAAAAATGACGGAATTCTACATAGCCCAACAAAAAACAAGCTATCATAGCAAACTTTATTCTTAAAAAGGTATTTGTAACATAATGTTCAAACTAAATGTACTATTTAGTCATGTCAACAATATGAACAATAGGTGGGAGTAAGCTTGTGAAGCCATGAATTGAATTACCCTGAGAGACCTAGTGTATGTGTTTTTTTTTCCTCCTTCAAAATAAAACAGTAGAACCTAATGATGGTTTATAATCAAGGAGCATTATGAATTGTAACATCCTGTGCTGCTTGCTGGTTTTAGAAAAACATTACTTCAAAATGATCCTTGCAGACATTAGCATTGACATGCTGTACATAAAATAATAAGCATTAGCATTAATGAGGGTTTCATATCCTGAGGGAGGAGAATTACCAATCACAAAGAACAGTTTTAGCAAACTGAAATGCTATTCTGCTCTAGTGAAGCATTTTATTTACCTTTGGGGGAGAGATCTCAAAACCCTGTAAACAAAGTAAACAAATCTGTCCTTGGTGCGCTCTGCACACAGGTCTCTGACCTTTTCTCTAATCTTTGTTTATCCTTTGCTTGACTTGTAATTTGTTTTGAAACCCTCCTCTCGCAAGCCGGTGGATTTCAGCCTCTTTCACTTCCTGTTCCAAATCACGGTTTATGTCAGCTCGGTGAACACGGCGGTATTATCCCCTTAGCTGTGAAAGAAAAGCACGCTGACCTTCGACATTCCCCCACCTCTCAACCTCTAACACTGTAATCAATTGAATTGGCCTTCAAATGTAATAACAGTGTTAAGCTCCTTCCCAGACCACCCCTTATTTATGTATCACCTCATTTCAGTACAGTTGTGAAGTGTGTGTGTGTGTGTGTGTGTGTGTGTGTGTGTGTGCGTGCGTGCGTGCGTGCGTGCGTGTGTGTGTGTGTGTTTTACTTAGCATGTTTCCTTTCAGTCAGCCTTCACTCTCTAGACTCCAACACGGTTGGCATCGTCAGTTCTGCCCAAACAGTTTCCTTTACCTCACCAACAAAAGTTGAAATTCAAATGTGGAACTTGGAAAAAAATACAACAAATTTTCTTCCACTTGTTTTCATGACAAATATGACACGTATGTATTGATGACGCGCGACTATTCTCCCTGACAGATGCCCATCAAATGGATGGCTTTGGAGTGTATCCATTACAGGAAGTTCACTCATCAGAGTGATGTTTGGAGTTACGGTAAGATTTCTGTCCTTTTTAGGGACCTAATAGTGGTCATCTGGGACTTTGACTTTGCACTTGCTGTCTAACTGCTCATGGGAGCACCTCTTTCGCCATGTTGGACGTCAAATGAACTCTTTCCATGCATTAAAACTCTTGTTAAGCTAGTGCTAAATAAGCCAGTTTGTAGCCTGAATTGCTTTGATTTTGTTGATTTCACAGTAACATGGTAATAGTTTGCTGTGTGGTTGGCTGCAGCTTTTTATCGTACTTATGATGGAAACAGCAAACAGGGATGGCTAGCTGCTATTAATAAAATAAACTGGTATTTGCAGGTTTGCAGCTAACATGTTTTATAGGGTAACATTAAAGTTCATAAGTTTTATAAGAAAGACTATAAAAATGACATATGTGATGTGTTTATATTATTCATTTAGTATCGATAATCCTATATTTCACTATGGTGGACATGTGTTTCCGTCCATCCATGTGAATTTCTAAATACTAATAATAATGCTAAAACTTAGGACTACGTGTGTGGAAATTATGTTATTTATTAGCGAAAGAAGCCCTTGGTCCCGGTTGCCAGGCCATGACTAAAAACTGCTGAATCTGGACTTTTAAGCCAGCTCCAGTGCAAGATGTGATGTTGTTTATTACATATTGGTGTAAGTGGTGGAGGACGAATTCTGAAAAGTCAGCGCCTTTATCAAATATGTGAGCGCGACAGCAAGGAGTTTCTCAGCTTTAACTCTTGTAAACACAACTCCCTGTGAGCTCCAACCACATGCTACTTGTGACAACTGAACTGGGCTTGAACTAGTAGAAGCCAGGCTTAACTTGTAAAATTAAAATTAGTTTAAAAACATGTTAATAATAATACATTTGGGGTAAAAAATAGTTTAAGGAAAATTGTGCAGCTGCTGTGATTGAATGGACAGAGAGGTTGTCCTATTATCCGAAGGTCATAGGAGCGATCCCCAGTCCTGGCAGGCCGCATCCCGAAGCATCTTTGGGCAAGATTACAAATGTAAAGATGCTAAAAAAGATGCTAAATGCAAGATGCTAGACCCCAATTGCACCCCAGACACAATAACATTTGTAGCCCACTGCTCCTTACTATGGAAAGGTCAAATGCAGAGAAAAAAATTCCCCAAGGGGGATCTCAGTCGCCACTTTTGCGGTTTGTTCAGTACTCCAGTAACTTACTGCTGACATCCACCATGACAGTCTCACGTGCAGGTGACTGAGATGCAAACGGTCAATATTCATAGACGGATGTTTGACAGTCTTTAAAGAGGAAATGTTCATACAGATGAGCTTCAAAAGTGTTACTGACAATAGCTTTGTTTTAAGTGTTGCTACTTTGTGACTTAAGGTGTAACGATATGGGAGTTGATGACCTTTGGAGGAAAACCATATGATGGAATTCCCACTAGAGAAATTCCTGATCTGCTAGAGAAAGGAGAGCGTCTTCCTCAGCCACCAATTTGTACCATTGATGTCTACATGGTCATGGTCAAATGTAAGTATAATCAATTAGATATTTTTATTTTGGTCCTGTAACTCAGAAGATCGTTGTTGTTTTTTCTTTATCTAATCTGAAATCAAATCATGGTTCACCTCTAATTTCCTCAAACTCAACAGCAATAAAACTGAACTTCTTCTTGTTGGCACTAACTCCACCCTCAACATCTGACAGCTTTTCTTTAACTATTGACAGCGCCACAGTCTCCCCCTCACCTCACGTCAAGAGTCTGGGTGTCATTCTCGACAGCTCACTTTCTTTTCAGGCTCACATTAATAACTTAATTCGGTCAGCATACTTCCATCTATGTTCCATAAACCGTCTCCGTCCCTCACTGACCCCTCACACTGCCGCCATTCTCGTCCACAGCCTCGTCACCTCCCGTATCGACTATTGCAATTCACTTCTTTATGGTCTTCCCAACAAACTCCTTCATAAACTGCAACTGGTCCAGAATTCAGCAGCCCGTATTATCACCAGAACCCCTTCCTTTCACCACATCACCCCGGTTCTCCAGCAGCTTCACTGGCTCCCAGTTAAATTCAGGTCCATCTTCAAAATTCTCCTCCATACCTTCAAAGCAATCCACAACCTCTCTCCTCCATATATCTCAGACCTTATAAGTATTCACACCCCGTCCCGTTCACTCAGATCTTCTTCTTCCATCCATCTTGCGGTTCCTTCTGCCCGTCTCGCTACCATGGGGAGCAGAGCTTCCAGCCGCTCTGCTCCTCGTCTCTGGAACTCACTTCCCCCAGACATCAGGAACGTCGACAGTTTTACCCTTTTCAAAACAAAACTCAAAACACATGTTTAAATCTGCCTACAACCTCTGATTTTATTGAAATGTTTCTCTCTTTTTTTGTTCTTTGGGTTTTATTATTGTTTTATTGTATTTTATTACGTGTTTTGTGTAAAGTGACCTTGGGTGTCCTGAAAGGCGCTTTGAAATAAAATGTATTATTATTATTATTAATCCTGCAAATCCTTATTTTAGGAGTAATTTTGAGATTGACTACCTGTAAACAATACTGAAATGTCCAGAATCGATTGGAAACATTAATGAACAAAAAAAAGGCTAAGATGATGTCATTGTTTACTTTACAGTTTGTGAAAAGAATTGCAAAACTGTTTTATGTGATGGGGGGGGGGGGGGGGGGGGGTCAGCTATAGAAGAAGTCTAGGACAGATTTTTCTGACTGGCTTTGTGCGCCAGTAGCAGGACATTGAAAGTCCTTGTTGGTCACTATGACATGCCATCAGGTGGCCCTGTAACAGCTGGTCGCTGCTGCCAAGACAACGACTTGGTGCCAGTTTCACCCTGGTCTTGTCCTCTTTTCTGTGGGCTGGAGCCTCTGGCTGTCACTGCTACCTTGGCTTTTACCGTCACCCTGAATCGCCGCCAATCTGGCAGGCAGACCCATGAGCAGTGGAAAGTGGTCACCGTCTACCCACCATTACCTACAACACTAAATATACTGAATATAAACTCTGTTATTTAAACATGCTCCACCAGGTCAACAGTTATGAGTGAAATTTGTCAGACCCTTCTTTTTGTTATTTATATATTTTTAAACCCCCATCTCTTCATGTCCACCTTGTATTATTATGTGCTAGATGCACAGGCAAATTCTAATCATGGCCAGTTCACATGATCGCTTTGGTGCTACTCCAGTGTGTCCTCCAGGAAACTGGCAGAAGAGCTCATTGCGCCATATGGCCATTAGTGATGAAACAGTGTTTATATTCTATTTGGAAAAAGCTGAAGAGAATGAGAAAATTGCCTTTTTTTTAAATAACTGCTGGGAATGTGCTATATGATGAAAAATATTTTAAATGTTTAAATATCTGAACAGGTGTATGATTTTAGAGTAAAGTCAAGCTTGCTAGCTTTCACTAAGAAAATGTCCATAAAAGTATATAAATGAACTGACCAGATTTTTTTCATGCAAATACGTTTATGTTAAAGCTGATATCCGTAGTGTGACGTCATCGAGGGGATTTAGAAGATGCTAACATTTGAATAGTTCCCGCCCCTGTGAAAGCCACACCTCATACTTCGCATGCCTTGTAGCGCCAGCAAAGGGCTGCAGTGCCTGCTTGTTTTTGATCAGTTCCTGCTCAGACATACCTGATTCCTACTGCTGAATGATCTCTTTAACCTTTATCAGGTTTTGCAGGAGCTGCTAATCGACTAAATTCTGCTGTGTTTAAGCAGAGAAGCGTCTAAAATAGAATGGAACCTTGCACCTGTAATCCTAGCTAATGCTACAATAGTCCAAAACAAGGTTGAATGCTATGCTAATCACTTAGCTCTTATACATAAATATGAATCCCTTTTATTCCCTTTCCTCATTCTCCACAATTAGTTGGCAGTTCACAAAGTGGCATTAATTTATTGCAGGTTGAGTTAGCATTCAAGCTAGTTTGATATGCTAAGTTGACTGAATTTCTGTGCATCACTGTGTCACCCTGCTGGGAAATGTGGTGCATTCTTGTTGACTGGTAACTCCCTTTTGTTTTTTGCAAGCTACTTTAAAAGATTTCAACTACTTACCCCAGCTTTGATATTGATTGGCTGGTACTGTTGATTAAAGACAGTCCTTAACCCTTAACTCCATTTATATTCAGGAGCTACAGGAAAAATATCCAACTTCTGAAAGTCAAACGGCAGGTATTTATAATGCTCCCAACCACTAACAAATACACTTTTATTCTCAGGCTGGATGATTGATGCAGACAGCCGACCCAAGTTCAAGGAGCTGGCAGCAGAATTCACTCGGATGGCTCGAGATCCCCAGCGATACCTGGTCATCCAGGTGGGTGAATCTCACTGACAGTTGAGGAATAAGCACAGATTATTCTTCTGGTTTTATTATATTTATCTCGTTATTTGTTGCAAGGTTTGAGTGTACAGTATGTCTATATCTGAAAGTCAAAACCTTTGTGTAATTTATTGCACACACACATTTCACCAGGGTGATGACCGCATGAAGCTGCCCAGCCCCAACGACAGCAAGTTTTTTCAGAACCTCTTAGATGAGGAGGAGCTGGAGGACCTGATGGATGCTGAGGAGTACCTGGTTCCCCATTCAATCAACATTCAACCACTGGCATACACCCCTCGCACATGCATCGACTCCAACAAGGTAATTTGTTCTGGCACTCTAATTTGTTGTGCAAAACTCCAGGAATAGAAGTCTCATTTAATCGTTTTTTTAGTTTGGCGTCAAAATAACAACAACAGGAAAACAACATGTTATTTTCCTTCCAGTGTGACCTCTCAGGAACAATGGTGGGGAAAGAAAATGAGGAATTAGAAAATAAATCCTGTGTAAAAAGGAGAGAAGCGAGAGATAAATCAGTGTAAAGCATCACGGGAGGTTAAGAAAAATGCTTTTGTTTTATTAGTGTAGATATAAACACACACAGCAAGACACAGCTGATATGGCTACTTTAAGCTTTTTAATTAAAATTATTTTAATTAATTTGTCCACAGTAGTCCAGGTGCTCTATCATATCCCTGTCTGTCATGTTTAAACGTCGGAATTAAATAAGGACAAATGTTACTTAAATTTCCACTTTTAAAGCTAATACTGTTTTAAATGGGAATTTTTGGGGGGGGGGGGGGGGGGTTGTAATCATTTATGTACGCTACACAAATCATGTATTTAACCTACATAAACAGTACAAATACAAAACTAACTTCGACTTAATTCTTAATAATTGTCTTATTTTCACATAGTAATAATAGTATGAGTAATATTTATTATTTGTATGATTATGCAAATGGATAACCAGATACTGTTATCGACAGTTTTCTCTAACAAAAACACTTTTTTCCAACTCCCAATTCCATTCAGAACCAATTTGGCTGCCAGGATCCCAGTTTCAGCATGGAGGATATGCTGGCCACTCTCCCTAGAGTGGCTCCCTCAGCATGTGGAAGCAGCCATCCTCCCCAGGAACTCACTGTGGGGGGGCAGATTAGTGGCGGATTTGGCCGAGGCAACCAGGGTGACCCTCGTTGCAATGGTACCCTGCGGAAACAGTCGTCCCCAAGGTCAAACAGGCTCGGAGCTGGTTCAGCTCTCAATGCAGGACAAGGTAAGGTGGTTCATCATGGCGAAAGGATGACAAAGGATACTGAAAGTATTCCACTTACAACAGTTTGACTTTTGTAATCAATAAAACAAATAGATAAGTGTGGATTTCTTTGTTTTTTGTGGAATAGTACCCTAACTTTGCTCGGACACCTTGAATAATGTTACTACATGTTGTTCTGTTAGTCCAGGTACTGGACCAGCTCCATACCCTTAGGGAGGTCTTGGAGGGTGCGTGGGAGTTCGCCCAATCAGTCTACATGTGTTTTGTGGATTTAGAGAATGCGTTTGACCGTGTCCACAGGGCGACCCTGTGGAGGGTACTCCGGGACTTTGGGATACCAGGCCCCTTGAAACAGGCTGTTAGTTTCAGAATCAGAATCAGAATCAGAACGACTTTTATTGCCAGCGTTCCAGCGATCCAGAGCATAGGAACTTGACTCCACAGTACAGCCTGACCAAGATTACACACACACATATAGACAGGACAGATACAGGCAGACCGCGAGAGCAGCCATAACGGCGCTCATTTCAGTAGATGAAGAGGGGATTACATGAGGAGAGTTCGGGGAGGGAGAAAAAGGCATTAACAGAGCTACACCGGCCGGGTGTAGCTCTACTATGCCAAAAAACACCCAACATACAAGCACGAACATCACAGTTCACAACATGAGACCCGGTAGGTAGGGGGAGGGGCTGGGACCCTGGTTTCCTCAGCGGGAGCAGCCTGTGTGGCACTCGGCCAACTGAATCCACAGGTGGGAGGGAGGTCACGGGAAAGCACAGAGCACAGCGAGTGCCTCCAACTTGATGACCTCGGTGCGAGACCACAATCTGAAGGCGGGGGGGGGGGGGGGGGGGGGGGGGGGGTAGGTAGGGTTTTCACAGCATTTGTCTGCATTCCTTCCATCGTGGGGTTTTTTGCACACAACTCCAAGGCTGCTTATGGCGTCAGATTCGATAACAAGACTTTGTTTGGGTCAGGCAGAGATAATTTTCCTCTCTGCCTTAAAGTCTGCATTGATCATTCAAATAAAAAAAACACACTTTACAGAGAATTTATAAAAAACAGAACGACAGAAGCAGAACAAAAGTACAAAAGATATAAAAACAAACTCATAAATATAGTGAGAAGCTGTAAACGTGAATATTTTATTAAAAAGTTAGAGCACAATAGAAACAACATAAAAGGCATCTGGAAAGTATTAAATGGCGTAATTAGGAAAGAGACAGGGAATAATAACTATCCACAACATTTTATAGAGAGAAAAAATAATATTACAAACATGAATGAAGCAGTGGATGAATTCAACAAATATTTTGTAAACATAGGATCTAAATTGGAGGAAAAAATAATAGTTGATGAGATACAAACGGATGCCACAGAGTATGTTGAAAGAAATAAAAAGTCTGTTTTTTTAAGAGCAGTTGATGAGAAGGAGATTTATGAGATAGTTAGAAATATGAAGAATAAAACCAGTACAGACTGGAACGATATTGACATGAAAACACTGAAATATGTGATTGAGGGCATTGTAAAACCATTAACACACATTTGTAATCTTTCTTTTCAAAAGGGGTTTTTTCCAAATAACATGAAAGTAGCAAGGGTAATTCCTATTTACAAGACAGGAGATAAGCATCAATTTACAAATTATAGACCTGTGTCAATACTATCACAATTTTCCAAAATATTAGAAAAACTGTTTGTTAAAAGATTCGATAATTTTGTTGATCAATGTGAGTTGCTGACGGAATGCCAGTATGGCTTCAGGAATAATAGGTCAACAGTCCAGGCACTGATTGATCTTAATGAGGAAATAACAGAATGCATTGACAAAAAGAAGCATGCAATAGGGTTGTTTTTAGATCTGAAGAAAGCTTTCGATACAGTAAACCATGATGTATTGATGAGAAAAATGGAAAAATATGGTTTCAGGGGTATAGTATTGGACTGGATAAAAAGTTATTTATCAAATAGACAACAATACGTGCAAATAAATCAACATAAATCAGGACTAAGACAGATACAATGTGGGGTGCCTCAAGGATCAGTCTTAGGACCTAAACTATTCATAATGTACATAAATGACATTTGTAGGGTTTCACAAGTTTTGAAGTTTGTATTGTTTGCAGATGACACAAATGTTTTTTGCTCGGGGGTGGAATTGCAACAGGTCCTGGATGTGGTCACACAGGAAATAAATAAATTAAAAAAATGGTTTGATGTAAATAAACTGTCACTAAATTTAGAGAAAACAAAATTTATGTTGTTTGGTAATGAAGGAAGACATAATGAATTAGATATAGTAATTAATAATGTAAAAATTGAGAGAGTATATGAAATAAAATTTCTTGGGGTGGTCATAGACAGCAGAATCTGTTGGAAGCCACACATCAAATATGTTAGGGGGAAGCTTGCACGGGGCATTGCTTTATTGGGGAAAGCTAAGTATATTTTTAATCAGAAAGCACTTTATATGTTATACAATACGATGCTACTGCCATATTTGAGCTATTGTGTAGAGGTCTGGGGAAACACGTACAAAAGTCATTTACAGACATTAACAACAATGCAGAAAAGGGCTATCAGATTAATAACAAATGCAGGATATTTGGATCACACAAATGAACTTTTTATTAAAACACGGATAATGAAGTTCCAGGACTTGGTTAAATACAAAACAGCACAAATAATGTATAAAGTAAGAAATAAATTAATGCCTGATAAAATACAGAAACTGTTCACAGAGAGAGAAGGAGGATATAACCTGAGAGGAACACTAAACTTAAAGATACATAAGTTTAGAACAACATTAAAACAGATGTGTATCACAATAATTGGGGTTAAATTATGGAACAATTTAGAAGAAGAAATTAAAGTAAGTACAAATATAAATGTGTTTAAAATGAATTATAAAAAACATATTCTGAACAAGTATATAGTAGAAAATAGATGATTTATGTGAGTGTCCTTTATTCTAAGGAAAAGTAAATTGTATCAATTGTAAAAAGATGTTTTTTTTTTCTTTTGTTGTTTTTTTTCCATATAATTTGGTGGTTTTTGGTGACTTGTACCATTTTGTTTGTTTTAATGTCGGTTTTGTGTTAGATTTAGTAAGCAAGTAAAAATTACTTGTATAAAGGGGTAGGGACATATAAGTTTCCACTTCAGCCTACTCCTTTTCAAACACAGAAGAAGGGATGATATGTATTTTTTCTGTTTGTGGTATTTTTTTAAAAAAATGTATGTTTTCTTTGTTTGAAATAAACTAAACTAATTCTAAAATTAATCCTCCATTGAAGCCAATTCGGTGATTAAACATCTCCACACCGTCCGGTGACCCTCTCCGAGATGAGATCCAATTTGCGCACTAACACCGGTAACGCAGCTAAGACATTGTCCAGCTTCCTCTATTGTCTGTGCCACAGTTGGTCCACATTGCCGGCAGTAAGTCGGGCTCATTCCCAGTGAGAGTGGGACTCCGTCAAGGCTGCCCTTTCCACAGATTCTGTTCATAACTTTTATGACGAGGATTTCTTTTGAGTGACCGAAAGAACAAGATTGCAGATACAAGTGGCCAAAACTAGTTGTCACTAGAGAGTCTGGGCTTTCCCTTAGAGTTAGGGTGAGAAGCTTGGTCATTTGGAAGGGGCTCGGCGTAGATCCACTGCTCCTCCTCATCAAGAGGAGCCAGTTTAGGTGGCTCAGGCATCTGGTTAGGATGCCTCCTGGACCCCTTCCTGGTGAGGTTTTCTGGCCACGTCCAACTGGGTGGAGGCCTAAAGGAAGACCCAGGACACACTGGCGGGACTATGTCTTTTATTTGACCAGGGAATGCTTTAGGATTCCCCCGGAGGAACTTTCCCAAGTGGCTGGGGAGAGTGAAGTCTGGGTCTCTCTGCTTAGGCTGTCCTCCCACTGAATTGACCCTGGATAAGCGGAATAAAATGGATGGATGGCTAGCCTATTGCTTAGATCCTAATGCTTGATGATTAAACTCTTTAATGCGATATTGAAAAACACAAGTAAAAATTATTAAAATACTTTTCAAGTGAGTAGAGAACCACAATTCTAAGGAAAAGAGAAAATGAAATGAGCCAGTTAATAATTTCCTTTTGCATCAGGATTTAGTCTTACTCTACGTGCTGATTATTTTATTTCCTTAATGTATTATATACACTGTCTTTGCATTTGAAGGTGGAGGGGAAGACAAGAGCGGACAGCGCTACAGTGCAGATCCCACCGGTCTTTTAGCAGAACGAGGTGAAAAAGGAGAAAATAACTTCATGACGGTCAAGAGAGACAAGAAAACTTCAGGTCTTTATTGTGTTAATAGTCAATAAATAATTGATTTCAGTTTAAAATGCTTGAATGTTTCAGTTTTTAATGGCAAATGATCCATTTTTACAAATTAGCTGCGTAATCCTTACGATACATAAAAAAATATTTATCCATGCTTTTTTTTTTTTTGTTTTTGCTTCTATTTACAGATTTTCACCCTGTTGAGGAGAACCCATTCGTCACACGTCGTAGAAATGGGGATGCCCACGTAGTGGTAGATGGAGCAAGTTACCACACCTTACACTTAGCTGGCGCTGCTGCTGCCCCCACAAACCAGTCCTCCCATGTCGACGATGAGTATATCAGTGAGCCACTGTACCTGAATACATTCTTTAACCCTGGGGACAAAAATGGATTAGCTGGTGCAATTTCCATCTCTGGTTCCACATCATCAGCTGCAAAATCAGTCCTGCAGACAGGAAACCCCTCCACATCAAGCCACATCATTTCCCCTTCTGGATATGTTCTAACCCCCGGCACAATCTCCGGGCCACCGTATCCATCACAAACCTTGCATCCGGGGCATTCAGGACAAACTCTGCACTCAGGCATTACCAGCAACACGATGATGTTTGATAAAAAAGGCAAGAAAGCCACTTTTGACAATCCCGAGTATTGGCAGCACAGTCTCCCCCCTAAGTCCACATTGCACAACCCCGAGTACCTGCAGGACTGCAGCACACGTTTCTTCTACCGGCAGAATGGACGCATTCGCCCTGCTGTGGCTGAAAACCAGGAATATTTGTCTGAAGGTGCCATGAAGGCTGGAAATGTATTGCCACCCCCTCCGTACAGGCAGAGGAACACTGTGGTGTAGTGACCCACCTGGAGGGATGAACAGAGAGATGTTAGGTGATGATAAATGGTCATGTCTTTTATATGGCGTACTTCCCCATCTGGGTTCCCCTTGCACCTTCTCTGAACACACCTTTTTTGTCCCACCTTATCACAGACTCACGCATGAGTCTGCCTTTTTATGACAAAACTACAACACTGTTCTCTGATGGTTTCATTCAGGAATCAGACCATCTCTGTCAACGTGACCCCTCAAGCGTCGGCATCTTTAGCAACAACTCTTGAACAGACAAATACGAGATGTTATTAGAAGAAAAGAAGTAAATCAGAAGTTACCCTAAAGAGGAGTGTTTTCATGACCCTAGAACACTAACTAATGCATCCATAAGTCATTCCTCATCTTATGCATTTCTGTCCAGTTACAGTGTTTTGTTTAAACACGAGTTTTGTGTGGGTGCAGCTTTTCATGTGTTTTGTCTTGACTGCAGCAAACCTGTAGACATGTTGAAAAGGGCAGATAAGTTATCCGTGACTGCCCACACATTTCTTTGACTTTTACATTTTTTTTCTTTTTCTTTTCATAATTCAATACAAACATTTGCACATGCTTGGATCATACCTGGAATACATTTACAGATGGGAAATGTGGACTCCTTAATCTTAAACATACATTGGTTCACCTTGTGCTGAAAGGGCAAATGTGCAGAGAAAAGTGGTGCAGTGCATGAAAAGGGTCTAAATGAATGGAAATGTTGCCTCATTGCCTGGTGGAGAGATTTTAGTAATTATGTCCGATCTGGGTTGAGAAATAAATATCTGATTTAACAGAAGATAAAGTTAAAGTCCCATAGTCATTATCACACACTGGTGAAATTCATCTCCGCACTTTACCCATCCCCATGGAGGGGAGCGGCGAGCTGCAGCGGTGGCCGCACTCGGGAACTATTTGGTGGTTTAACCCCTCTAATACTAGAGTGAAGCAGGGGGGAATTGAGTCCCAGTTTTAAGGTCTTTGATATGACCTGACCGGGAATAAAACCGCGATCTTCCAGTCCCAGGGCGGACAATCTACCACCAGGCCACTGAGCTGGTGAGAGTAAAGATGACCCTTTAATTATGACTTTTGCATTTTAGTCATGATTCCAATCTATTAAAACTTTTGGAGAAAAAGAGAAAAAATAGTTTTCACCATGCAGAGTAGCATTTTCTCTTTGATTTTCTCTTTCTTTTACATCGGGAATCTGTTTCCTTTGTTGTGATTTCTTACAGTGGACTGTAATTTTTACAAGTGAAGATAAAAACAGCACAGGCAACCAGCACCAAAAGAGCACTCTGGATATGGCAGAATGGCCAATCATTTGGAGCTGTAAATAAGCCAATTATATGTCATTACAAAGCAGACACAATTGTAGGGAAAGATGTAAACGTACATCAAAGATGAGCATAAAAGTTGTTTTGCACCACAATGTTATTATTATTTTAATGTCCTCAGTGTTCAGAATGAGCTTTTGTCTAAATGGACTTGTTAGGGATGAGGACCTGCCAAAACTCTGAAGACACCTTCATTACAATTCTATATTCAGAATCAAAAAATAAAATTAAACATTCAAAAATGTTATTTTGAATGCTGAAAAATTGCTGTTAGTCACTGAATTTACTAATGGCTTTCTGTATTCATGCAATACTGCCAGATGTCACATGTAAATGTATTGAAAGCCTCTTGCATTTATCATCAAATTACTTGTGATTTGTGTGCAGCTGATAAGTTAATAGCACTTAATAGGAGAGTTAATTTACTTCAATGAAATCAATTAATGAAAGAGGTACTCTAGTGTTTTTAGGTTGCACATGTTGTGATGATGGTAAAAGCATTAGAGGCTTAGATTCGCTTAACTAATGACAAAAGTTTAGGGTACATTTGCAAAATCTTTAATTAATATATCTAAAATGCAGTGTCTCTGTATAAATCTTTTCACCTCAAATACAATGTTATTTAAGCTGCTATAGCGAATCTGCAAGCAAGCTAGGTTTTGAATGCAAACATGGGGACAGGACACTCTGCCCTCCCCTCAGATGTCTTTACTGGTTCTGCGTCCACCTGAACCAGAAACCCACCATACAAACACAAATACAGGCCATTTACAATGCCGGTGGAAACAAAAGAGCGCAAAACAGCAGTCGCTGTTTTTCTAGGTCCGAACGTCTTTCATTTTCAAGTTGTGTTTTTATTTTGAGACTTTAGTAGGTTGTCCTAAAGTTGAAGTGGTAGCAGCCGGCTGTGTCTTCTTCTCTGATATTAATGAGCGGCTAACCTCTCATACCAGTGGTGTTCTGTTTTAAATGTGTGAGCGCATAATGAATGGAGGACCCAAGGAAGTGTGGTGATTGAGTGAGACAGACAAACCAATGGTCTAATAGTCTAATAATTTTCTGTCCGAACCGTGTTATTGGCAGAGGTTTTCAGACAAATGAGAGGGCAGGGGCAGTCCTAGATCGTTTGGTGTCCTCGGCAAACATTTTCTCATGCCCATTTGACCCCACCCCACCCCACCCCCCACCCCCCACCCCCCCTTTGATGCCACACTGGGTCATTGCCCAGGTCACTCTTATCAAAAACTGCTACTGTGTGAGCCATTAAATTGTTTTAGTTTTATCTTTCTAAAATAATTCTAGCTATACTTTGTTACAATATTAAGAGGCATGAAAACAAATGTTTGAAGCTAATTTGTTTTCTAAATTTGCTATTGCAGCTTTAATTTTCTTGTTTTGTTAGCTCTGTCTGCTTTTTTAAATTGTTTTTATTTTTGTATGAGACATTCACAATTCACCACTTTTTGACCCCTAACTCACCACAAAATTGTTGATCGAGAATGTCATGATCGAAAAAGCTCGCGATTTAAAGATGGAGGTTTAGTAAATGAAAAAGGGGCTGGGCATTTAAGTTTATATAGCCTAAATAAACTATATTCATGTAGGTTTTTATGTTGTGGTGTGACGTGAAATGCACCTTTTTAAGTGGTTCATGTATCCAACTCCTTCAAACATTTAGTCTCTTTTTTTGCTGTAGTGAACACCATTACAACAGAGTGTGCTTCGCTACTGTCTCGTGGTGTTTTCTTTGCACATTTCAGATCAAGTCTTTTGGACTTCAAAGCACAATGGAAGCTGATGCTTGTTGGAAAGCCTGTGCATTGAATTTAGACACTAAAGATTTTTGAACAAATGTCCGTCTCTGGTGATTTGGGAAGTGAAAGTGGGTTGTCAAATGCCTGGAATGGCCCGTGTAGTGAAAGACTCATTGGATTTTTCAAATTAGCTTGATGGACTTGCCAGAATATTTACTAAATCACAATATATTGTTACGCATCAATGCACAAGCACTGTTAGACAACCTAGTGCCTCTATAGAATAGATTATGATAAGCAGCGCTGAAGATTTACTACTGTACAAAGCACAGATGTTGGCCCGGCACAGTGTTTTCTCTGCCTCTCAGGTTTTACGGGGAATAATAATCATCCAGATGAGCTCCAGCCGAGGCAGGAGTTGCCTACTCATAACAGGATAATAAACTTACTGAAATTAAAGTATAATGGAGGGAAGATTAATGCTGTAATACCGTAGAAGAAAAACGTGCAACCTAAAGAAAATGTAAATTTTATACAGAATTTTACATTAAGTACAGTTTATGAAGGCTTTGTTCTTTTTCTAATTAAATTTTATTTATATACTTCAGATATCTCTGAGGTTGTGCTTGGTCTACTGATTTTTCTTTTTGTTCACTTATATCCGTGTGTGGGGTAGACCTACTCTCCCTCTTTGAAAGTTAGCTGTGGAAGCTTATCACCCATGACGTATTCCTGTGCTTATAGATCACTGCAAGGCCATGAATCCAAGATGAGCAGCAGAGTCACCATGAGACTTCTAAATGGATCTCTGTGGAAAAGTAAAGCCAATCTGTTGAAGAGAAACCCTGGTGGTGCTCTCACCTGGCAACCCTCGCTGGGGCTTTTAGCATCTTTGAATGCTAATTCTACTTTCACTTGTTGTTCTGTGGGGAAATCATGTTACTCAACTTCCCACCCAGCGCACCATCTGAGAAACCCTGAGCAACAGGCAATAGGTTGTAATCCTGATGTGAGGTTAAAACAACGGTATTAGCATTCAAGATGTGTTACCCAACCAATGCATCAATGTTACAAAAGCCAGCACTGTAACCGGCCGTGGAGCAGAGTAAAACTGCCATTCTTTATTCTCCTCAGAGGTGATCGGTGGATTGTACGTAGTAAATGTTGTTCTACAGCAGTCACAAAGGGAATATTCATCACGATCACTGTTTACTAAAGAAGCGGTTACCGTTTAAATAATGACTACGCACTGAGATCTCTGATACATTTATTTATTTGTTTGTCATATTTTGATGTAAAAAAATTATATCTTGTGTTAATTTACTGTATTTTTTTATATTTTTTCTTCAGGGTCAGATATTGTACTTTTGCTTCATAAATAATGATATACAGTTGCATCATTATGTATCAGTCATGTTCTGATTTAATCTCCATTGAGACTGCTGGCTGTGTAAAGAAATTAATAGAAGTTAGGTGTTTTGTTTTGAACTCGAGTCCATATGGAAAGTGCATGTATGTGCCAAAAAATAATAACAAAAAATGCTGTCACGGATTATCCAACATAATTTGATGACCATGTTTACTCATTTTTTCAACACATTTGCAGTGGTCTCTAGTATAAATGAAACCTTGTGAGTTGTACTTAGTCTTTAGAGAAAGATCTGTCACTTCTGCTTCAGGAAGTTTTATCTCCACAACTAACACATGTCAGAAGGAATTGTTCCAGGTTGTAGAGTTGCTAATGCTAACGGTTACCTTCTACTAGCTGAGACATGCTGTGTCTTCCTCATCACGAGCCAATTAATGCTAATGTTTAACGTGGCATACAATTGCCAGACTATTCTATTCCGAGCACTTATCCATTTTCTACGGACGGCTAATGCAGGTAATAGGGGTAGAAGTCTATTTTTACTTCCAAATTGTGGTTCTTTTTAAAACACAGGAAATGTTTTTCTTTACCTTGCTGACGTAAATTCCGTTTGCCGACTGCAAAACATCCTCAGAGCTGACTCTGATGGTGGCGTCACTTCCTACTCCGTTTATCCGTGGGCAGCAGAGGACGTTGTCGCCCTCTGCTGCCCGATCTCCCCTCTCCGATGATGCAGTCCCATGCGCGATCCAACGTGTAAACTCCATCATCCATGTCTCCTTATCTCTATGGCTTCCTTTATCCATCTTTTGTGTTTCTGTTTTTCGGTGTTTATGATCCTTGTGTTGTCCCAGTCCATTGTATGGTTTTCTCTTGTGCAGTGATCTGTTACGGCTGACTTCTTTATTGTGCTTTATGCACAAGAAAAAAAAGTTTGCTTTTTTTTTTGTTACTGTCAAGGTGGAGCCTGGAAGTAAAATTCAGATGGATATGTCTTTGGAAGTGAAGCAAAGTGCTAAAATAGAGTGAAAATTGACACGGCCTACACTAGTTTGAGGAAGCTGAAGGAGGGTATGAAATCACGGACTGATGCTGACCTGGCTTTGTTGCGACTGGACTTTTTTATTGATTTGTACCTCATTTAGTATCAGTTGGCCCATGTTAGTGTTAGCTTGTTGCTAGTACTAGTGCTAGCCACAGCAGGCTGCTGCAGGGTTGTTTACGACAGTTGTAATTCCACTTTCAACCAGTAGGATGGAGAAGCTGGAAACTGTTTAGTGTTACTTTAAACTCAGAGTGACTGATCATATTTAAAAAATAGCAAGTAAAAATGGTGTATCAGTGAACCTTGCCTTTAAGAACGATTTTACAAAATCTGTAATATTTAAAATTTTTACCGCTACAGGTCTGACCTCACAGTTGAGACCAAGTTTTGAACTGTTGAAATATTTAACAATGTTTAATTGCTCAACATGTTGGATTAAAACATGTCAGTTGATAGAATGTCAACAATAAGTACCAGTACAAGTCATGCTTACGTTATGAAAATAGTCTTTACTATTCTAACATTTTGATGCACAGCTGTTTAGGCTTTGAATAATACAAAATATGAATTCCTCCAAATCAAAAGTTGAGTCAGTTTGCCAACCGTAGTTAGTTGGACCTTTGAAATGGGACATTCCTTGTCTGTCCGTAAAGACCTTGCTTGCCTAGAAATGAGGACTTTGGAGGTTTTAACTGTTGATCTGGGACAGAGAGGCTATATTTACAGAATCTGCTCTATTTCTATTATTTGAATATTCATTTCATTAAAACCTTTTAAACAGCACAGATTAATCCAATCCAACTTTGGTTTGAATGGCCTCACTATTTTAGAGAATCCCATTAAATTTCAAATACAATTATCAGTTAAATAACCCAACTAGAGATGGCTTTGAAAAAGCACTGTTGATTTTCAAAGGAAATAAAAACACAAAGCAGTGCACAAAAAGTAATCCTACCACTGATGGTGTGATGTTTTGCACTGATTTGTAATAAATGTAAACATGTCAATACCATCAGGAATGGGGTTGAAAATAGCGGTTAAGTAAGCACAGTCTACGGTGAAAGAAACTGATGATAAAACTGTAAAATGGAAATAATTGTCTTTTGGTCAGAAGATTTTAAACAAGAGCTGCTCAATGATTTTACAAGAAAATTAAATAAACAAACTTAAAAAACATGTATAATATTTTTATAACTACAATAAAGTTTCCCCAGGCATGTCTGTAAATTGAGGATTGCTCTGCTGATGATTTTGTTTCTAGATTTTGTTTTTGTTTTTCTTGCTTTACTGCAATTATGTGGCATACTGTTTCCTAATGTTTACTTTGGGAATTTGTTGTATGTATATAAATATACATATATGGTAAATATAAATATATATATATATATATATTCTGTAAATGCAATTTTAGAAGTAAACTCTGATGTTCCCAGCGCCCTCGGGGTGTTGTCACCCACCTCCCCAGTCATCCCCCTGTGATGTTGTGATGGTGTTCACCCACACAGCTTGGTGGATTTTGTGTTTTCAGACTCTGCTTTTGCTCATTTTGTAGAACTGACTTTGCTTCTTTTTACTGAATATATTTTACACACATTACCTTTCACACTTCCTTCAGCATTATCCACCTCTTAAACTCCTTTGGTTCTGCCGTTTTGTACACATGTTTTTGCAATGTTATGAATATTCAGTATGGCATTCCTAAATCCACCAGTGTCACTTTACATGCTGAATTTGGAGGACCTACATTGTACAATATCTTGAGTACATTCTGTTCTTACTTACCTCAGCCAATGTTTTTTTTTTTTTTTTGATTATTTGTTTTTTTTGGGTGAAAAATAGGCCAATACTTATTTAAAGGTGTAGCAATATCATGTTAGGGGCCCAAAACTGATGTTATATTTAAAAAAAAGGAAACAGTTAGCTTGAGCAGAATTTTTTATTTCATGTTATTTGCTTGCACAGGTGAAGCCTGGCTTTTCAAGAACTCGCTCTTTTGCAGGAAATTAGCATTCTCAATTCGTGGGATCTTCAAATGACTTTTGGGGCCCGTTTTCCACCACTGTGTGATGTGAAAACTGCCACCAAAATCATCCTACTACTTTTTTTAACTGTAGCAATTAGGTCTGCATCAATCAAGTAGTGAGGGTTAGGGTTGATTTTACCAACTGAAACTGAAGGGTGTGGATTTATTGTGTAAACTTGGTCGCTCAGAAAGCTTTTCTTGCATCATGTTTTACCTGCAGCCTCTTTTTTTATTATTTATGCAGTGAACCAAACCAACGACTGTTTGTGTGTCGTTTTCTGACAATGTTGTGTTTCTAACCACGACACATGTTGGGTTATCTGATTAGTTCTGAATATAGACAGTATTTTACCCCATAAATGTTGCATTCTGTAGGCTAATTGTACAGTTAGAACTCCTGGCTTTTGCATCCAATGACTTTGGTGGCAACCCTGTATTTTACAAATTTAAGCATTTACATGTTTATGTGGGAGTCGGGGAAGGGGGGGGGGGGTTGTTCTGTTCACTGATGTAAACTGAAGTTTGGAAGAAAGGGCATTCTGTCATGAACTCATCGGTTCTTTGTACTGACTAATTAGATGGATTGACAGCTAAGTTTCATAGGACGTACTTTGTCACATTAACAGTTTTACATGATTCTTCAAATTGACATTTTTCCTCCAGCTACAACATTAAAATACATATTCACTCTGTTTTGTTACATGGATCTGTCAAAAGTATATTTTTAATTCAATTCAAATAAAGATCTGTCAATATTTACAGGTGGGTTGTGCTCGGTTTCTGAGTGTTCATCTCTAAGAGCTCCACTAGTCCACAGTGAGGATAACATCCACCATGATGTAAATAAAAACTCAAAAGACGTCCAACTAAAACTTTCCACATAAAGAATTTGAGACTTAGCAGTGATAACCATCTTCTATTTAGTAGAATAAACAATGTTTAGTGTTATATCAGCTGCTAAATTGCTATATTTTAAATGAGCGATAAACAATAAAAGCTATTAAAATTTCAGTAGTTGGGGAAAAAAATAACTAACTAGCTATCTTGTGCTACTGGAGTTTTTATTTTTTTATTTTTATTTTTCCCCCCGTGTCCTGTCTGGCTGTGAAGCAAACAGCATTTATGTCTGAATGCTGGTGACAAGCCTTTACCCTCAGGTGGAGCATCAAAGCGTCTGCTTTTAATGTTACACCTGATACTTAAAACTTTATTGTTATTGTGTTTGAATGCTTTGTAATTCCGACCAGACACGGAGACAGAAGTGAAAGAGAAAGGAAGAGACAAAGGAGGGGGGGGGGGGGGGGGTAACCCGGGAGCCACGACCCAGGCAGACCAAAGTGAGGCAGGGAGAGGGGAGACGAAGATCTATATCATAAAAAGAAGTCCCAGGAGAAGGGAAGGGTCAAAGGCCCCACCTGACATATACAGCCATACACAAACACAGTCACAGTTTATCTGTAAATTTTATAGTTGACTATCTGTGAAACAGCTTTTCTGAAAAAGGGAAATAAATTATTTTAGAGTTTTTTTTTCAGCAGTTAATTGAAATAATTATAATGGACTAAGGAGGGAAATACTTTCATAAATAGCCCCACCACCAGCCCCAAACTGGAGCGTGAGATCGATAGTCGGATTGGTGCTGCATCTGCAGTGATGCGGGCGTTGTACCGGTCTGTCGTGGTGAAGAGAGCTGAGTCAGAAGGCGCAGCTCTCGATTTACCGGTCGATCTACGTTCCTACCCTCACCTGTGGTCATGAGCTTTGGGTAGTGACAGAAAGAATGAGTTCGTGGATACAAGCGGCCGAAATGAGTTTTCTCCGCAGAGTGGCTGGGCTCTCCCTTAGAGATAGGGTGAGAAGCTCGGTCATCCGGGAGGGGCTCGGAGTAGATTCGCTGTTCCTCCACATTGAGAGGAGCCAGTTGAGGTGGCTCGAGCATCTGGTCAGGATGCCTCCTGGACGCCTCCCTGGTGAGGTTTTCCAGGCACATCCAACCGGGAGGAGACCTAAAGGTAGACCCAGGACACGTTGGAGGGACTATGTCTTACCTGGCCAGGGAACGCCTCGGGATTTCCCTGAAGGAGCTGGCCCAAGTGGCTGGGGAGAGGGAAGTCTGGGCCTCTCGACTTGGGCAACTGCCCCCGTGACCCAACTCTGGATAAGCGGATGAAAATGGATGGATGGATATGGCCCCACCAAGATTTGTTTTACCAGCCACCACCATTGCATTCCATTTGAAAAAGTTCACCATTGTTCACCAAAATGCTATTTAGCTGTCATGTTGGGCTGTAGCTTTGTGACCCACGACATGCAGAATCATACACCGAGACAAAGGTAAGTAAAAAAAGGTTTGATTTTTTATGTACGATGGGAGATGGAGATGATGGTCTGAGATCAGGTGGTTCCGGTGGAGTTCTAGAGCGGAGACAGGAGTGAGTATTTGCAGATTGACCGTGAAAGGAATATGAGTTTGTAGCTTACGGTTTCCTGGTTGTTGGTAAGGCTTAGAGGGGGTAGGCAAGTCCCGGCTGGCTGAGCTGGTCGAGTGAGAGTCAGGTGTGGCTGGGAGCTGAGCACCAGAGTTTGGGTTGTCCAGGTTGGCAGGTGGGGGTTGGAGAGCAGGCGGTCAGGGGGGAGCGACGGGGCTGGCAGACAGGGTTGGAATCCGGTGAGTTTTTCTTCCAGCTGATGGAGGTTTGGTTGGTGGAGGAGAAGTTTCCTGAGGAGGTCGTAGGAGAACAGGACAGATCATTTCAGGAAGGCGAGACACACAAAAGATAAACAAATTTCAGACATAGGCAAGGTGCTGGCAAGAGTTCTACCCAATGCTGGGTATCATCCGGCACTGATGAGTTGTCCCGACGCTCCTTAAATCCCCTGACCACTGATGAACAGATAGGCAGCAGCTGCTCTCCAGGCACACCCACCTGCACACAGAGAAGACTCAGCACAACCCATGACATTAGCAAAACTCCATCTAACTTTCCTCTGCTCAGTTAACCTATGGGCTCGTTTTGACATCCTCATTTTGATGAGAACCAAATTTACTCCCATCTCCACAGTTTATTTTTGCCCATTGCATGATCTCATTTAAAATGTCACTTTATTCCCAAGTGTTTCACCCAAAAACATGAGCGCAAGGTTTCTCCTGTCGTCACAGCATGACATCTTCATTCTGCAAAGATGAGGCTGCAGAGTCGCACACGGACGCTCCTCTCTTTTCAGCATAACTTCAGATCTTCAGCATTTTCTTCCACCCTGCCCTTAAAGCGGCTGTCTCTGTCTCTCGCACAAGCTTGTACGCTTGTCACTGAATCACACAGGAGCGCCAGTAATAAAGTGTCACAGCTCTGACACTTGTGCTCGCATGATAGATGCATCTCTTTTTGAGCTGATGACATTTTATGGCATTATCATCAAAAATCCAATAACAAGATTAGCATCTCGGAGCCCTCACTCCATGCAAAGTCAAATCACCTGCCTTTAAACGGTAATAGAGTGTGATCGAAACAATCTGTCACTGCCTGTCCCCTCACCATCACCCGACAACTCCTCTGACAAACTGTACTGATTTTTACCTGGTATGAGTGATGATCAGCACAGTTAAATGTAAACAATCTTAATCTTAAAGGGTTTATTTATTTATTTTATCAAATGGCACTTTTTCAACAAGTGAAAATATGATTTAATGTAGTTTACCATTACACATTTATATCTATGTAAATAAAGACATAACACCTTCCCCCTGGTAAGTCAGCCCTCTGTGTTGGAGCTGGAAACCTATACTTTATGACAAGAAGTCATTATATTTTCAACAGAATGCCATGCAGTGGATACAGCCTCTGTCTCTTAAACATTAATGTGCTAGTAACACAGATGTGACATGCTGCTTACATTTAATCGATGCGTGTCACTTTGCAGCGGTTTTGCAGCAATCACATAAAGTGATGCAATCACAGCAGTTTACTGATGTAAAAACATGACAGCAAATTTTGAAAACTTGTTTCTGTTGTTTTCGATGCTTTGGCATTGTTATCTCTTTTTCTCAGAGAGCTTCTGCTCAGGGTGGCTGCCTCTAAATCCCAGCATGTTGGAAGTCTTTGATTGAATGGACTGTACAAACCCCACTAAGCGGTATGCAATCCCCCTTGAGAGCTTTCATTATAACCAGCATATTGGATTCTCTTCATGGGCTGTCTGACTCTGGAAGGCACAGTCTTTCTAGGAATGCACATACAGAGCATCATACAAAACAGCATGTAGTAAACTAAAGCCTAAATCCAGGTGGATTTTCTTCTTCAACTGAATCCAGGTTCTTCCTGCGAATGTAAAACATCTCCTGAAACTGTCATTACTGAAACCCTTCATGACTTTTGTAGTATGGGGTCAAACAATAAGGTAGCACCTGTATGTTGATGGTGGGATCCAATAACAGCAGCCTGTTCCTCTGTGCTGTACACAGCTAAAAAGTACCCTGCCATCCTATTGGAGGTTTTCAACAGCAGACCACATTTAACTGAAGTTGCTTGGCTGGAGTTCGGAGTATGAGCCTCAACCCCTTCCTCAAGCATTTCTAAGAAACAAGCACATAAGAAACAGAGAAGGATGTTCTATTGAACTGACATTTCCATTTTGGGGAAGATGTACTTTTACTGTCATGGGGTGCTACTGGGAGTGGATTTTTTCCCAACCCAACACTAACCCTAAACCTGTTAGCCTTTAAATCTTAACATATCATACTAATTCATTTATTCATTCATTTATTTATTTATAAAGCACTTTAAAACACCCAGCACAGGACCCGTAAAGCGCTTTGGAGTCCTTACTCTGAGAGGCGCTATGCAAGTGCGGGTCATTTATCATTATCATTTATCATGATGTAGCCACAGCTGCCCTGGGGCACACTGACATTGACGGAATATTGAAGGAACATACTGAAAACATGTCCATTAACGCTACAAGGCTATTTTTGATTGCATGCGCTGTATGATGCATGGCTTTCAACTTCTTCAAGAAAAGAAGGGGGAACAAGGATAGACAATAGTGCTGTTCAAATTTCAAAGTCTCATCCTCCTTGAGTGATGAAGGCTCTCTGATGTGTGGCAAAGGTCACATTTGCCCAGCTGGGTCAAGCTGGGTCAAGCAGTACTTTTTGAATCCACAGATTAACCCAAGGAGCCACGATGTCTGCTCAAGATCACAACATCATATCTGCTGTTCGGTCCAGAAGGACACTTCAAGCCACGATGATAATAATTAGATAATAATTAATAAACTCATTGATTTTATTACTGTTTAATATAATCATCATAACATGATCACTTTGTTCAATATAAAGGTATTTTAATTACATGAAATGGGTTATTATGCTTTGGGTATTAATAATAATTGTTATAAAGATTAAAGATGTGTTTACCAACAAGGTCAAGTCACCCTATTCAGCTAACACAGAGTTCAGATAAACAGTAACTGCATCACATGTTTTTGACGCATGAGCAAGCTTTCTTCCGGAGAGAGTGGGAGTGGTTCTGAGAGCTTTTGGTAAAACTAACCATCACAGATTCACGTTCAGTTCTGAAACTAACATCAGCCTGAGGAGACGGGACGGCCGCCCAGACCCTCTGCCAAGCTGTTCTGTCACGCCGACAAGAATAGCCAAAGAATAAACGGAACCGTAAACCAGCTAACGAAAGACTCTACCAGAGTCATTGATTTCTGAAGACAACAACGTTCATCTGCCAAACGCTTCATACACCGAG